AGCAACCGTAGCGAAGAAAGTAATCGTGAATCGCAAATCGAAAGTGAGAAGACGAAAGGTTCAACAGGAAACGAGTAAGGAATACCTAATTGCAAGAAGAAATATTTAAAAAAACACAACACCACACACCCACACACATGCATACATTTACATATACATACATACATACAAAATAGCAGAGTGTATTTTTTGTCAAACAAATTTACATAATAATATATTACTTTTATATACTTATGATTTTTTGTAGTAGAGTCTTTCTCCTTTAAACAAAGCAAAAACAAAACAACAAAAACAAAATGAACCTTTGGCACTGCGTCTGCTTTAATTTCTTTATATATATACATATTGTTTAATTTTTTTGCAACCAACAAAAAATCAACTAATAATTCTAATTTATGATTATGCTACAATATACATTATATATACCATCTATCTATCTATCTATATCTATCGATATGAATCTTTCTGTGTAGACAGCGAATAAGAGAGAGACAGACAGAGAGAGAGAGAGAGACAGACAGACATAGACGGACAGAGAAAGAGAGAGAGAGAGAGAGCTAACAAACCAGGAAGAAAAAAATAACAGTTTGTTTAAGCGCAAAGTTAAGTTCAAACGTAAAACAAATACATTTAGAAATATTGTCGTCTTTTAAAGAACAACTAAGACATATAGACACTTGCGTCACAAAATTGTACTCGGTGGGCTCTATATTGTTATATATAATATAGTAAACTAAACCCTGATCCTAACTAAAACTAAAACTAAAACAGAGGGCAAAACGAAAATGGACCCAAGCTAAAATTTGAAAATAGTGTTCAGCGCAATCGCACACGGGTGGCAACGCCGCCGAAACCCTCGCAGCCAGTGCTGCCACCTCGGCCGCTTCCGGCGATAATTAGTTAATCGATTATCATTAACCCGCCAGTCCTGCTACAATTTGAAAAGAAAAAACACACGAGAAAGGACGTTTATGCTCAATGGTAGAATGCAAACGGTGGGCAGGTGAGGTGTGGAGGCAAAATGAAATTTAACCGATTTATATAAATGTGTAATTCATTATGTAACTGTAACTTAACATGGATATGATATGTATGGCATATACAAGACAAAAACACACGACACCACACACATAAATATATATATATATATATAGGCAAAATCCAAGCGAAAAACGAAAACACTCCAGCAAACATTTTTAAGGAAAACGCAAAACCCACACATATATCCCAGTAACAGTAATTAATACGAATATACTCGGATCGAAATCCGGTGGAGTAGGGCAGGGATCTCTTAACCCCATAAAGCCAATCGGAGCGACGAAGTCCCTGCCCTACTCCGCAGGACTATGCAACTAAATGTAGTAGAATTAATAATTAAACAATGCAAAATAAGAAATGCAAGAAACAAAAAGAAGAGCAAAAGCAAGGCACTTTTCGCTAGGCTTCTGAACCGAAAATATAAAAAACGAAACCATATAGCGATATTAATTAGTCCACACCCACACACACTCTCTCTCACATACGCCCAAGCCACGCCCACATACGAAAAAGCCCAAAATATTTGGGCGGTTTGCTATGCCAGGCAATGTTTAGTTATAAAAGAAAAAAAGAAAACAAAACAAAACAAAACAAAAAGAAATCGAAAGCAAACACAAATTAATGAAATGATGAGTAAAAGTAACAAATCAAGCTTGCTATCACACAATACATGTAAAAGGTATATTATATAGCATATTGATAAATGATATAAACATTAATTTATACCTATATTTTAAATGCATCATCTGGTTTTCCGTCTCCACCAAACGAGGATAGTAACAACATAAGAATGATAACGATAGCGATGACGATGACGGTTAGGCAGGAAACGGAACGAAGAGGAAGAGTAGAGTGGTGGAGAAGAGAAGCGTACATGGCATATATGCATACAAGTATATGTAAACCATTTTTACATTCAATTCATTCAAATTAATTTTTAGTAATACTGAAATTTCGATAAACTGGGGCAGCGAATGCTCCGCCCCGCCCCGCCCCCTCAAAAAGTCCCTACCCACGAAAAAGAGGAAATTTAAAGCAAGTTTGAAATGAAATAAAAACTTTAAATAAAATATTAAAAACAGAAAACCAAAACCAAAAAGGAAATCAAACACGAAGTTTGGTAGATGTGTTCCTAGACTATTTAAAACTACTGCTTATTCCATTCGGCGACTTATTGTATTTATATGGGATAGAAAGGAACGGTTCTATACTGCCGGTGCTGTTTGGGAAAAGTACATAATTATTTTCTAACTTGCAGGTCGCAATTTTGTTTGGAAAAATAATCTGCAAATACTATTCAACTTCATATGGGATTAAAAGAGATGATTCTATGCTGGCGCTGCTATTTTCCTAACATAAAACTTGTACAGCCTATATTTTTAATTTTCACTTCGTAGGTCTTGCTAAATATATTCTGGATCCTGGATTGAGCTCAGTAGGACTAGAAAAAGTTAATTAAAAATTAGTTGAAGTGCATAAGCAGATGCATTGTTTATAATGGATAATACAATCAAATCATTTTCAACCCACGGGTTTTCCGTTTCAAAACTAAAGAAGTCATATTAACAAATAAAATAATGTTAATAAACAATAAAGCTTTTATAAATAACAGAACAGAAAATATCATCAAGAACGGGATAAGTTCTAGTCAAAAATATTTTTCTGGATGCAATCAAATTTAAAGATTTTATATTTTAGTCAGCATATAGATTTTTGCCCATCTTTTGGTAACTGAGACACTTGATTTTAAAGATTTTTTTTTAATGTTTGCTATTTCTTGTGTTTTTATATATCCTTCTAACTCGAAACAGGTTCTAGATAGGACCATCATAATGTTCTGAATATGAAGGTTATATAGAGTTTTGTGTTGTCCAAAATCCAAACTTTGTGTGGCTTTAAGGGGCTATAAGGCGCTGTATAATAGGTCTTCTCTTGAAGATGCACAGCAAGGAAGTAAGAACAGGTGTGCCCCTAGTCTATATGGACTTTTCTCCATAACCTGGTGAAGCTTAATGTTGTTATATGGGCCTTGGGGCCTCAAGACCAGCATGGATAATGAGGCACGATTTGGCGAGCTTATTTCAAAGAGATCCGCCATATACATGCCATGAAATCAAATGGCAGTCCAAGGATCGTTACATAATGCACTTCGGAATTCAGTGTGTTACATTCTCAGCTTATTTATTCCTTCAAGGTCTTGCACTACACATAAAATAAACTGATCCGGAATCCAGCGGTGGGTCCCCCGGGATCCACGGAACCAAAACTTCGGATGCGGCGGATGGGAGGTGGAGCGCCCTACTTCTTCTTGGGCTTCAGCACCTGGTAGGCGATCAGCAGGCCCATGACGGCGTACGTGGCCTTGGCCACCTGGAGGATAGAAAAATGAGCCACGAGATGGCATAACATCCGGATTAGGATTACGATGGGTAGAGCCGGAAAACCACACTACTCACGTTAGCACGGCCGCTCATGGTTGAGCCATTGAAGATCTTCGACAGACCGGTCAGTTTCTCGCCTTCGGCAGCCATTTCTGCGAATTAAATGTGGTGTGTTGTGAGTGCAATCTGGAGGGCAGTGCTCTGTGGTCCTGTTCTACTCACTTCAAGGTTTATTTGCACGGAATTCGAGCTGCTGCAGTCGCCAGAAAAAATATTTTCGGCGGAGGTTATACAACTGTCATCAGTCTGACCGATATGTTATCGATATAACATACCAGTTTTATGTATTCAAATATACCAAACCATAAAAGGTCACACTAAGGTGTCTTCGCTAGCCTAGCGGAGACACTCTTCTGAACAATTTGATTTGCTGAGTGCGTTAGGCAACACTGATTTATTTGCTTGCTAATAGTTAGGCGCCAAAATTTAAAAGGCAAGGTTAATACTTATTAAATTAATCTATGACAGTTAATTTTAAAAAAATTATATGTTATTATTTATAAAGCAACATAAAGAAGCGGTTTCTTTTGGTGTATATATAATGCTTCATAAATTTGTTATTAATGTCATTAAAAATGAAAGATATTGGATTTTGATATAAGTAGTATATCCATAATAGTGATATTATTTGAAACTAATTTTAATAAAATAAAATGGTGCATACACTACTACTTTCTTTAGATAATTCCTGCTTTCATGAGGTTGTTTTTTATTTCTTTGCTCTAAAAATAAATTGCGATAAATTACTTATTAAAAATGGACCAACTGAAATTTAATCTTGACAGACCATTTACCTTTGCATTTGTGTCAATGCGAGTGAGTCAAATGTCAAATTATAGGGTCCTTATCAAATGTCAATAGCAGCTTTGGCAAATCGCATCTAATTAAGCTAAATATAAACGCCCCACAGACTCATTAAAATTAAACTGCACCTTCTGGGAACTAAAGGCTGATATTTCATTGTCAGGACGAGCAAGAGAAAGGGCCGGCATTAAATAGAATGCAGCGAGAGGCAAAAAAATATCCTGTAATTAGAGGCATAAATGCACTTAAAGTCCACCCAAGTCCACACCCATTTAACCCACAAATCCGCGCACAAAGGAAGCATTTTAAATGAAAGCAGTGCCGAATCCTCAACCTCAACAACTAGCGAAAAAAAATTACAATCATTCATAAAACTTGGTAGATGTAAACTAAAAGTTGGTAAAATTTTATTTTAGTTAATAATTATCAGGACTGAGAGATTTGTATTCTGTTTTAGGAATATTTTTTGATGCGAAGGTATTTTATAGGACATACTCTCAATTAAATTATATGGATTTTTAAATGGATTGTCATTTATTAATGTTGATTTGATATTGAAATAGAAACTAGTTTTCACTGTGTATAGTCCCAATAAAATTATAAGGTTTTTTTGCCTGGATATAAGATATATGTATTTTTGACATGACATTCACTGCTACGCCCCTTGCCTGGGGACTATAAAAACCCATCAGAAGACAGAAACTGAATGTAAAACGCGGCTGTTCAAGATGAGCGACAAGGTCCCGGAAGAGAAACAAGGCCAGAATCAGGGTCAGGAGGGCCAGCGAAAGGATCAATCCTTGAGGGTCCAAATCCTCGTTTACCGCTGCATGGGCATCGACCTCTGGAGTCCCACAACCGTCAACGACCGCACATGGCTCACTTTTGTGACCATGGGCCCGCTCTTCCTCTTCATGCTGCCCATGTTCCTCGCCGCCCACGAGTACATCACCCAGGTGAGCCTGCTCTCCGACACCCTCGGCTCCACCTTCGCCAGCATGCTCACCCTGGTCAAGTTCCTGCTCTTCTGCTACCACCGCAAGCAGTTCGTCGGGCTGATCTACCACATCAGGGGCATTCTCGACAAGGGTGAGTGTATAGAATCTACATTTAAGATGGTTCACCTCCTACGCAGAGAATTAAATTGATAATTAATTGATGATCATCAAGAGGAAATTCAGTATCGATTTTTGCTTTCTTTTTATCTTTATTCGATTTGAGAGCATTTTTATATAGAGGAAATCCAAGATATACCATTTCTCAATATAATATTAACAATATTCTATGGTAAAAATGGTACTTAATAAGATGTCCATGCTAATATCACTGGTCCTTATATATTTTTTTTCAGTGTACAAAAAAAATATGTTAAAGTGGTGGGTTCCAGAAAAAATGAAAATGAAGCAAACAAACTTTTATAATATTTTTTTAAACCCACAGAAATTCGTGTTTGGCCAGATGCTCGGGAAATCGTGGACGTGGAGAACGAGAGCGACCAGATGCTCAGTCTGACGTACACCCGTTGTTTTGGACTGGCGGGAATCTTTGCGGCCATCAAGCCCTTCGTGGGCCTGGTGGTGTCCCTGATTCGCGGCGACGAGATTCACCTGGAGCTGCCCCACAACGGGGTGTACCCATACGATCTCCAGGTGGTCGTGTGGTATGTGCCCACCTATCTGTGGAACGTAATGGCCAGCTACAGTGCTGTAAGTGATTTATCTAAGCTGAAATGTAGTAATTTCATATTATATTTAAATATTTGTAATTTGATTTTCATTAATAGTTTTTTTTATTGATTTAAAATGTGGAAATATTAAATAAATATACATAGGTGACTAAAAGATTTTATGAAAATATTAAAATGAGCACTTATATTTATCCTAATAATTTTAAATTCTGGTTTTAATAGAGAATTCATTTTCCAACTGACATAAGAAGTGTATCAAATGGTTAAAGCAAATAAATCTAAAATCTTATAGAACATTTTTTACGTAGATACAAATATTTTAAAATTAAATCATGCAATTTAATATGAATTTTAAAAATTATTTTATTTTTGTATTTAAATTAAATGTAAAAAATACAAAATGTGGAATTCAATATGCAGATACTTATTTTGCCCTTTCCATTTTTGTATCAGTGCATATAGAAAATTAAGAACATATAATAAAAAGGTTCTCGATGTAAGTGATATATGGGATTTTAATGGATTATTTTAAAAGTGTATATACTATTATATCCAATTAGGTGACCATGGCGCTCTGCGTGGACTCGCTGCTCTTCTTCTTCACCTACAACGTGTGCGCCATCTTCAAGATCGCCAAGCACCGGATGATCCACCTGCCGGCGGTGGGCGGCAAGGAGGAGGTGGAGGGCCTGGTCCAGGTGCTCCTGCTGCACCAGAAGGGTCTCCAGATCGCCGACCACATCGCCGACAAGTACCGTCCGCTCATCTTTCTGCAGTTCTTCCTGTCGGCCCTGCAGATCTGCTTCATTGGTTTCCAGGTGGCGGACCTGTTCCCGAATCCCCAGAGCCTCTACTTCATCGCCTTTGTGGGCTCGCTGCTCATCGCCCTGTTCATCTACTCGAAGTGCGGGGAGAACATCAAGAGTGCCAGCCTGGACTTCGGCAACGGGCTGTACGAGAGCAACTGGACCGACTTCTCGCCGCCCACCAAGCGTGCCCTGCTCATTGCCGCCATGCGCGCCCAGCGACCTTGTCAGATGAAGGGCTACTTCTTCGAGGCCAGCATGGCCACCTTCTCGGCGGTGAGTATCCCTACTCGAACACGTGCGGCCAAAGAGAATTTAGCGAAATTTCCATCTACCGTATACATTTTAATGAAAAATACAAAAAAATTGTGTCAATAAGTATGCAACAATATTTTTTAAGCTTAGTGGTAAAGTTGAATCCATTTGGATAGACGACTATCCTTTATTCGCTGCATACTTTTAGGATTCTAGTGATTTCAAAGCCCTGGTGATTTTTGATTAAGAAATCCAACAATAGGTAATACTCAAATAGTTCGAATAATGATATTACATTTAGCGAAATTTCCATCTACCGTATAAATTTTAATGAAAAATACAAATAAATTGTGTCTAAAAGTATGCAGCAATATTTTTTAAGCAAAGTGGTAAAGTGAATTCATTTGGATAGACGACTATCCTTTATTCGCTGCATACTTTTAGGCATCTAGTGATTTCAAAGCCCTGGTGATTTTTGATTAAGAAATCCAATAATAGGTAATACTCAAATAGTCCGAATAATAATATTACAAAAAAAAAGAGTGGCAAAATTAAGAGGTATTTTATGGTAATTGTTAAGTTAGATTTTAATGTTATATCCTCATCAACACACAAATTTTGTCTGTGTAAAACCTGTTTTTTCACATTGCAGATTGTCCGCTCCGCTGTGTCGTACATCATGATGCTGCGCTCCTTTAATGCTTAAAAAGGACATCAAAATGTGCCCATCGAGGGAATATTATATGCAGGTGTGCCTGGTGACAAAGCAGTTTGAAAAAAACGGAGTAAAAATGTGGTTTATATTAAAAAAACAACATTGAAAGAGACAAGTAAACTAGAGTTTTTTTTTGTTTGGCGCATATCAAGTTTCTCATCACAAATACTTTTTAAGTATAAAGATATAAAAAATATAAAATTGACATTATCAGGTGTATTTTGTTACCTATAAATATTGATATTCAAATTTATATAAAAAGTTCAAGAGCACATTTTAATATTGCTGAAAAATCAAAAGACATTTTAAAAATATTGTACCCTTTTCTTATACATATTTGCAATGTTTCTAGGGTATTATTTGATGATGTTTTAATGCTTATATTTATTATTTGTTTATAATAATAATTAAATAAAAATAATAGACAAATTCACTTTCAATTTAGTAGCAAGTATACTGACACACTTTCCAATTGTAAAATTCGTACCTTAGCTTCTTGCTAGATTAATCTGTTTTATTTATATAACCAGCCAGGCAAAATAGGCAGCTAAAAATGCGGAGACTAGAGGTCGTACAACACACCCACTGCCACCCAGCCTTCATGACGGGCATTTTTTTTTTACTAGAGCATTTTTCTTGGTCCTTAATAAAAGAACAGGTAAAGGAGGATGGGGGTGGGGGTTTCAGGGAAAATAGAGCGGATTGCAAGTGATATTGCTGCAAACTATTCGAATCTTTTCGCGTTTTCCGCCGTTCTTGCTTGCCCTTCAAAATACCACCCACCACCCAACGCACAACGCCCACCACCCACCAATACCATCCATTTTCCACCGGGCTGTAACGATTTCCTGTTTGAACCGTGATTGATGACAGGCGACTGCGGAGGAGCAAGGTAAACTCCTGCTGGATGCAAAAGTCTTAAGTACACGCAACACTGAGCTGCGTGATTGGATACTTGGATGCCTGGATACTTGGATACTTGGGAACTGCCCAGCAGCCTCCACCATCGACCATCTACCACTATTTACGCCGGCTGCAACTGTTTTAAAGTTTTCAAATTGCGAATGCCAATCCATAAGCACATAATTACGTATACGCCACGGGGCCCACAAAAAATTATGGGTTAATGCAAGGGCACTCTGCATTCGGTTGCCTTTAACTTGTTTGGCTTAATAATTCAGGCTTTCAAATACAAGTATTGGTTTTAACTTGTTTACAATGATGAGAAATGGAACAGTCAATAAAAATATTAAATTTTTAAATACAAACAAAATACAATAAAAAACATAATATTAGATACAACACATTTAGATTGTCATGCAATAAATATAATCATCATGCAATGTAAATTGTATACACATGTTATCCAATTAAAATAAAAGTTTGAAATCCCTTAATTCACCTTCGATGTTTAATTGAAAAAATGCTAAGTACCCATACGCCCCTATTTTTTTTTTTTTAAGTATGTTAAATTGCCTATATGAACTGTAGCTGTCTAGTTTAAGTTTGGTTTTAAATGTGCTTCAAAATATTTAAATGAAACATAATATTACATCACCTAAACTATGGAGTCGGTAACCCGAACATGGATTTCATTCTTGCTTCTGATTGAATTTCTCTGCGGCTTTGTGCTTTTAATTTCATTCGTCCTACCTAAGGTCATCATCCCCATTCTTCCCATTCCGATTCCGATTTCCAATAACCCCGCCCCTGACCCCAAAAGCAGTTCTTGATTTACATTGCCAAAATTGAATTTATTTATCTCCCTCTCGTCAAATTTCTTTGCCCCCCCTGCCGAAAGTCTGATTTTGTAACAAAAATAAAAGGGAGAACCGGCACAGAAACAAAATAAACGGAATTGAAATGTCCCTGGACCTGGTCATGATTTATTGCATCGCATAGCGACGGGATATTCTAAACTTTTTGTACTCACCAAAGCCAACCATCTACCGAACTCCAACGCCCCCCCAAAAAGCAAATAAAATATTATTTGAAATATGTGCTATGCGAACCCCATGATTGAGCATAAATAAAGTGTGTAGTAAGCTGGCATAAACAAAGTGCACGACTAAGGACAGTAAACTGTTTTGACAACTTGTGGGCTCGTGTGTGCAAACAAAAGGGGTTTTATTTCTATTTTTCCAGCAGCAGTTTTGCAATTCCGTAGAATTAATTAGCAGTGAACCAGTATATTTCCCTCACCTCTTATCAAAAGGTGGCAAAAACAAAAGGTCTTCCTCTGGTTTTAGTTTTTACCATCCCATTGTCTGTTTGCAGCGCTTTTTTTTTGCATTGAATGGAGCGCCATATTGTGGAAAAAATTAAATTTTACCTAGTGCAATCCCTTGGCTTCCTTAAAGACCCTTGTAGAATAGTAAAAACGTCAGTTACCAACATTAATTAATATCATGCTATTATTGAGCCATCAAACTATAGATATATATCAATACAGAAAGGGTAACCAAAATTATATGATAAAATATCTATAACATCCTTAAATTTCAATAATTTATTAATATCCTTATCAAATCCCTACTTACTTAAATACAAGGGAAACACTTCCTGATTTTTAAAAAAACATGTGCCCTATTTTGTTGGCAATTTACTTTTAAACTGTGTAAAAGGCACCTAGAGCAGAAGCCTTTTTTATCGTAATTTTAGGGTGATGAGAGGTACGTGCAATCATAATTTCCGCGGATGCTAACCCTGAAAAAGTTCATGTGAGCAGTCCTGGTTTTCTGGTTTCCCTGCTAGTCCTGTCTCTTTGGCTTCGTAAAATGGTCACAAAGTAACATAGGAGCTTAACGATTGCGGCCATAATGTCAGGACATCAAACCGGACATGACCTCGGATGGTAAACTCCCTTTCGTATTTGGTGGGAACCTAAAGCTGCCGTTCTCTAAGCCCGCCAAAAGCCACAAACGTTTGAAAAAAAGAAAGAAACAGAAAGAGTGCTAGAACCATCAAAGTTTATATGTTTTATGTTTTCACTTTTAACGTTTTTTTGGGCGGAACTGAGAGGCAGCTGATGTAGCGGCCCATTGTCATTGATGATGATTTATTGCCCGACTGCAAGTGGCCAAAAAAGTATTTATTTTGCTGTCGGAAAATAAAAGAAGGCGTACCAAGGGCTGAATTATCAAGCATACGCAGCGTTGGACTTTCGAGTTTAGCTGCATTTTAGCGCCTCCACAGGCGAGCTAATAATCCAGACTCCTGCTGCTGTTTATATTCCATTATTGAGCACTAAAAAAAACGTATTCTGAAATCTGGCAACTTTTTTATATTGGCGTTCTTTTAATAAGGTTTGTTCCGTTTGGTTACAAACGTTTATATATATTTTATTTTTATAAAAAACATATTTTTTTTTTCCCCAATGGTTAATTTGTAATTTATATGAACAATTCCCTCTTTTAGCTTATTTAACAAAATGTAAATAGGTCTTGAAGCATTTAAACTGTCTTACTTTAAAGAGTCAAGCTTGTTTTTTTGTGAAAATACCATTGACATATTTGTTTCGTAATTTTCTTTTTCAAAAGAAATTACTTTTTATTTTGCCTTAAAGGGAAGTCATCCATGATTTCACCATTTCTTTACTTATACACTTGCCCTTTTTCTTAATAATAAACAGTCACCAAGTCGGAATACAAGGCAGGGATTCTAATGAGAAAATGGTGATTAAAAGTGTACTTTTTCAAGAAGGGATCTTTCTTGAAAATGCTATCAAGAAGAAATTATAAGTGTAATTTTGAAAATTAAAAAAAAATATATGGAATATTTAAAAAAACATTTAGATTCAATTTTCTGTGCTGAAGGCTTAAGCTTATAAGTCATGGTTTAATTTAATTGACTTAGTTTACTAACTTATTTCTTGAAAACTTTTATTTTCTTGAAAATGCCACACATTTAATTTTTAAAATATAATTAATTGTGAGAATTTCTCAAATGATTTCCCTAGTTAATTAGTTTTTAAGCAAGGCTTTAGGGTTATCAAGACTGGACCATTGGTAAGTGATGCTCGATTTATCCGAAATTTTCGCAGGAAACTCCAAAGGAGAACCCCCGCCCACCCATTTTCCAGCCAGAGCTTTTCGGAGAAAGCTTTCGGAGTGGCAGTAACAGGTCCGGCTGTTAGCAACAGCTGGCCAAAACCGCTGTTGGCCCAGTTAACAGGGAAGCAACAGTGCGCTGGCCGATTTAAAATAGCGCGTCCTCTGACAAGACGACTCAGTTCCTGTTCAGCCATAGTCGGTTACGATTGCCGTGAGCCGAGCACCGGAAGTGTCGAGGAAGTGTGGAGCAGTATCAGTATCAGAGTCAGACTTTGAATCACAACCAGAATCAGAATCTGAATCAGATCTTTAGCCCAAAAAAAACTGAAATCTCAGGCACTTTAGCCAGCCAATCGGACATCTAAACCAATTTGAAAAATAAAAAAAAAACCAAAAATCAAAATTTTCAAAATTCCCAAAACAATAACAACAGTTTTCTGGTGCCCAAAAGACATTGTCGCGTGCTTGAAGAAATCGACCAAATTCAAGGTTTGGATTCTGGTTCTCCCCCCCCATTTGGTGTCGTATTTTTTTTTATTTTTTGAAAGTGCGTGCGTGTTATGAAAAGTTTGTTTGAGGGGTTTTCTTTTTGAACAAAAAAAAAAATCAGAAATAAGTTACAACAAAGCAGCTGCCGAGCGGGAAAGTCGGAGGTCAGGTATCCCTAGTCCCCCTGTGTCCAGCCAGCTCTATTATAAGCCATTGCTTTTTCTGCCTGCCTCGGCTCTTTCGAGGTGAATGAAGTTTATGCAGACCTATGCGGAAAATTTTATTTCATTTCGGTTCGGTTTGGTTTGGTTTGGCTTGCTTCGTTATTTCCTTCAGCTCTTGTTTGGGTTCCGGGTTCCGGGTTCGGGTTCTGTTTTTTTTTTTTTGTGTTTCTGGGTTAATTTTCGTTGCCTTTTCATATTTGATGAGGACGTGTGATGGCGAACGGTGGTCCAGGTGGGGTGTCACCTAAAACAGAAGCTCCAGTTTTCCACTTTTCCGTTTCCTTGGCACCACGGGACGCCGAGTATCCCCCGCCCATTTTATACTTTATTTATCTGTCCGCCCTGCCCATGGCCTTTTGTTATGCATGGCCGTGTGAATCATTCATATGCAAATGCTGTGAAAATTCTCATTTATGTTCCGAGGAATCCCGCAGAAACCACTGGGTTGTGAAGAAAAACCATGGGAGAAGTCATTCTGTGGTCTTTCCGGTATTCTGATGGGCATGGCCAATGCCATATTTTGGTCTCGATTAAGTGTTGCCTACTTATCGGCTACCGTCTGCTTTGTTTGCCCTGGCCAATTACAATTACGCCGGTCGGCGAGCAGTTCATTAGCGACCATGACTAACCGCTTTTCGGCCTAATCTAATCGGCTTTGCCAGCCAGCCAGTTTGATTCCTAATTTGAGAGTTCAGCCATGAGTATTTTGTGCAAAATAACACACAGAGAAAACCCTCATAGGGATACATTTGATAATTGCATGGTTGCCTTGTTTACTATAATTTTTATCTCTTGCTCTGGGTGAAAGCGAGATAGCAATTGAATCTCTTTGAAATATAAAAAGAGAGCAAACCTATATCTAGATAGAAGTGATACTGAATTTTCTCAACATGATCATCATATCTTATCAAGATTTATTCACTGTGTATATAAAAACATATAGGCTACCGACGGGGAATTGTTTTTTTGAAACTACTACTACTAAGTAAACGCTCTACTTAATTGCTTTATAAGAAGAAAGTTTGAAGAAAGTTTAACCAATAATGGAAATGAAAAATACCAAATCGAAATGAATGCAAGGTATATATTTTTCCCAAATAAATCATTAACAAGTATTATAACGTTCATACTCGCGCTCCAATTACTTTTCACGGTCTGCTCGAACTCTTTGCACTTCATATATGTGGTGGCTATAATCTGCTATGGTTGATCAATTGTAATCGACGGATTGTTGACGCATTAAGCCTCTTGTCCATCAGCACCGCCACCGGCTTTTAGCCTTTTCACGGCCTTAACTCAATGGTTGTGAGGAGCTTTATCCGGAAACTGGGTCAAAATCAGGAAAACTCATCTGTATCTGGCAAAAGAATGTATCTAATTGAGTAAAATAAGGAACTATAGTTCCATTAGAATAATATCACATAGTATGCCACAAAAGAACCTGTAAGGTTGTATAGTTTGTTCATTTATTTATAGTACTATATAAAATATTGGGAACCTCCTCTTGACCTATTTGAGTTTGAATAATAAGACATTTTCGTAGTGTCCTTAGTTTCGAGAGGATAGCTTTGTATATTTAGTTAGATAATTACCAATCTGTAAACACAAGTATTTGGCTTGTTATGTAGGTTCTGCGTAGCCCAACTGAGGGATTATTATGTTTATGATGCTTATGATTTTCCCTTTAGAATTTATTAATTTAAAGTGGTGCCCCACGATGATTGATTTTCTCAAAGGCAATCTCAGAAACAGAATCACAAAGGGCTGTGTTCTCAGGCCAACCTGTCTGGTTTTCGATCCAGTTCCTAACGACTTGCTTACCCGAAGCGTTAAAAAGTTATTATAGTCCACCTCCACCTACTTTGCCATAATTCAAGGAAAAGAAAGGGGGAAGTTCCCTTTTTTTTTTTTTAATATTGCGGCTAATTTGGTCCGACCATCAAGACCACAACAACAGGCAGAAGAAAGCGGAAAGAAATGGCGGTTGGCAGTTGGCGGGGGGGTGGTGGGTGGGAGTAAGAGGCTTTCCCCCAGCCTAGGCAATTAATTTACATTAATTTCCCTTTGTTCGCATGGCATTGTTTTGTTTCGTTTCGTTTCGGTTCGTTTCTTCTGACTGGATACCTGCTGCAGCAGCGACTTTATTAGAAAACAATTACAACACTTGGGCATCTCTGCTCTGTACCGTTTCAACGCGACCTGGAAAGGAGCCGTCCATTATCAGCAGGACCCAAGGAAAGAGGTGAAAGTATGTCGGAAAAGAACCAAGGACGCAAGGTTGAGGAGGAGGAGGGGCAAAAGGAGCAGGAGCAGGAGCAGATGGAGCAGGAGGAAATGGAGCAGGAGCCTCCGAGCAGCAGGAATGGCAGTTGCGGATCTCCGCCGGAACCGGAACCGGAAGTGGTAGTGGAGGAGGAAGAGGCGGCATCGGGATCGGCAGCCGGAACCGAAGGAGCCGGCTCGGAAGCACCTGCTCCGGCCAATCCAAACACGGATCTGGAACTGGAGCGCGACAGGGACAGGGACTCCCATGGCGACAGGTGAGTCAAGCGGATTCCGATCCCATTTCCACCTCCATTCCCACCTCTTCCCATTTCGTATCCATCCATCCACGCACTCTGTGCGTCCTTGTCAATATCCATTAGCTAATTGGGCATGCGATGCCAAGGAAGTCTGGCCCAAAAAAGAAGGGAACTGGGCCAAGGGCCAACTGGCCACGGAATGATATCAACATAATTACAATATAGTAGCATGCGTATATATGTATATACTACTAATATTACCCACATTACCTGCATATTTTAATCATATTTTATCCAGCTAACGCTTAATATCAACATTTTAACAAGACTCATCCCCCATCAAACAAGGAAAGCTAATCTAAGTTGTACAGCTCTAGGTATCCTATATTGTAAATCAAACACACACCCGTATGACATATATAATATATAAAACTATATAATCTTTGAAAACTTATCATATCTCATAGTATAAAATGCATTATAAAATGTATGATGTTATTGTATAGTTTGCCAATGTTTAAATAACTCAAGGTTAAAACAATGTTTCCAAAAGCGAACTATGGAATCTCATGAAGATTTCTGAGTAATTTACCTTAAGTGCACCCTCTCTTTAGATCCTAAGCCTCATCCCGAACCACCCAACCTCTCTTTAACCTGGGCCAAAACGAGTTAACACATTTTGCATTTTGTGGGGGTCTCCAATTAGGGAAGCTTTATAAATAGACAACAGCCACTCCCCAATGGCACCTTAAAGCACTCGGGTAACAAAATCTTTTTGGAATTCTCCATGGAGTAGGCCTGACATCCCCAGTTCCGAGTATTCTGAACCTGAACCTGAAACGGAACCCTTTTCTGGGTGTTATTTTGCCTGTCGGCATATTTATAACCTGAGACTAACAATGGATGGGTTAAAGAATAAGAACAAAATGAAAAGTGTGGCAATCCATCAAAAAAATTTCAATTAATATTGTCAAAACTAAAATAATTTTAGGAGCGAAATTGTGTTGATGTGTGCTTTGTAGTTTATAGGGATAAAATGACAGATCTTATCTCTGTGGAACCTATTACCACCTGATTGTGCAGTGGCCCTCCTTGTCTAATCTGCCCCTATCGCAGTATAATTTATGACCGGATCAACATAAATTTATTTCTAAAGCATAGCTCATAGCTCTCCTTGAATTGATTCAGCAGCACCCTACTTATACAATAAATTCCACATTACAGACACCACTTTTATTATAACTAAACAGTGCTCAAAACTTTTATATTTTATATTTTAGTGACAGTTTAATCATATACTGCCCTTACTATACAATGCATAAATCAAGAAGTATAAATTCTAAAACAATTTTTGGGACGTAATCCCTTTCCTTTGCTATATTTAATAACTTTTCATTTGCTTAAATCTATTTGGAAATGATGGAAACTAATTATTATCCCATCGTTATTTTCTGCACTTCACATACTTTACTTGCAACTAAGTCGGAATTATTCTTTACTGAAGTTAGCCTCTTCAATAATCGAATCGAGTTCAATGTCTGAGTGTGTTTCTGTGTCATTTGGGTCAATTAGGAAAGGAAAATCCCATTTGAAGTTGCGCAAGGCCCTCTCCACAAAGTTGCGACCTGTTTTCCACCGTGTTTTCCCCTTGAAACTTCAGAGCTGCTCTGTTTCTCCTTCCGGCTGAGTTTCCCCCTGCTCCTCTGACTTTCATTTCCGGTCTGCCCCGGGGGCCTCGTCATCGCCTCGCACTCAATCATTGCCTCATTCCGGGCACTCAGCATCATTCAGCACTGCAACTGACACTTAGCTGAGCATTCTGTTTGATGTGTTTTTAAAAAATTAAATACCTAATTGGAGGGACATCGAACCATGTGGTCCTGATCCTGATACTGCTCCGCTGCGATGGGTTGGCCCAGGTGTCACACCATTTGTTGACTTTATGCACATCGTTTGTTGGGATGGTTGGCTGCTTCAGGGGACGCGGCGATAGTCAACATTGTCAGGAAACATCCGGCTACCCCCCTCGATAGAGAGTTTTGACAGCATAATTAACAACTCTTCACCAGACATCCATCCCCATCTTCGTCCTCGAACTTCCGATGATTTTTCAGGCGAAATCCCACGATTTATTGCTGCCCGAGCATTAACCATATCTTTAAGCAAGGTTGTACAGTGGGTACTGTATGTATTCGGAATTGACAATGAGCCCCTGGCTTTCGGACATGGCACGTGAGCTGGCTGCCAGATGAGGACATGGAAACCCATGAATCTCCATGTTCTCCACTCCCGATTGCCATTCAGCCCTGCCAAATTGTTAATGGAAATTATTAGTTATTAGCTGCTTAGCATATTTTGATGAATCTCGGCTGACTTACTGCCATTATCACCGAAACTTGTAGATAGCAAACAAGATACAGGACCTAGTTGGAATATACATATTTCTTGCAATGCCTAAGCTTCCTAAAATCATAATTAAATATTAGCCTAATCTTGGTTTGGGCATAGAATTCTACATTCTAAAGATCTTATGTTAAAATAAAATAATATTCTTGGTAGCACAGACGAAACACATTCAATCACTCAACATCTAGACAGAAAATATTCCGTAATCCGCTTTATTTATGAAGATTACAAACGGAGGCAGCCCAATTGTTTCACAGAATTGCCAAGTGGATGAGCACACATTTTTATTCCAAGACGGGGGAGGCAGTAAATATCCAAGCTGGATCCAATGGATCACTGATAACAATTTGTATGAAGTCGTGGATGGCAGTCGACTTCCGTTGCCAATCCTTTTTTATGGGAGCCTCAAGCTGGCAGCTTGTATCTGTATCTCTATCTGTATACTCGTGTCCTTGAGTCCTTGTATCTCAGCATATTTTTGGGCCGTCTGCGAATTATAAAGTTTCCTCAACTCGAGACTTTTTCGGTGGGTGTTGAGCACCCCTCAAAATCAAAATCAAAATCAGAATCGGGACAGGTATGGCATACTTAAGCCGGCTCAATGGGGGAAAATGGTACTAGTGTACGTATGAAAATCGACATCTGCTGGCAATCAACAGTTCACACAATTGAATCGGATTCAATTGACCAAACAGGAAGCTAATGCGAATGCGAGTCCGAATGCGAATGTGATTTCTAATCAATAGAGGGTCTCTGCTCCCCGGGAATCTGGCCGTGACTGCGATTATGGCAGCAGTTCTGTAACCAGTGATTTAGGGTTGCAGAATCCGTTGGACGCGAGACGTTAGATGTGCCCAGCTCTCACTATTCAGTTCCCAGCGGGATTTGGCATTCAGAAAGGCCAATCCGAGAACCAGAAACCGGAACTTGACCCCACCACGTGCCCTTGACTACTTATGCACACTCCTGTGCGCCGTGGAACAGACAGTGCCACAATTAAACGCACAAGGACGCGGACGCGGATGCGGACATGGATGTGGATGTGAACGTGGAAGTGGATGTGAATGTGGATGTGAATGTGAATGTCGACATGCATGTGGAGCGATTGGAGTGGAAGGCAGCGAAATCAGTTCCACCCAAGCGAACCCAAAGGTTGAAGGTGCTGAGCTTTGACGCAGAATTTCCCGAAAATGGGACTTGCAAATGCACTTGGCCTAGTTGTGAAAGTTATGTGGTAATTCTTGAACAATTTGCAAGCTATCCAAAAAGTAAACAACAACAAAGGAAACATTTTAAATTCTTCCGGTAAGTTAGGAACAAATCAAATAAACAATATTTGTATAGAAAAATCACTTGAAAAATTTTTAAAAGATTTCTTCCCTATTCGCAATTTAATATTTTGTGGTTGTAAGAAATTCCAAATCCTTTCGGTAAACTTGAAATAAAATAAAATAATCATCCACAAATCCACAATATTTGTATTTGAATAGAGAAATCAGTTGGAAAATCCCACAAATGATTCTTTCCCAAGCAAATACATTTCCAGAATGTAACTTCTGAAACATGACAGAGCAGAACTATGGTTCTAAAGGCCTTGCAGGACTCGGGGGATAGAGGACAGAGGAGGCGGAAGAAGCAATTGGCCAAAATGGTGTTTGAAGTAAAACCCAGAAACGTGACGGGATTCACAAACGGTGTTGAACGCATGCCGGAATACCACAAGGGCATCTTACCTTTACTTAGGAGCTGGCCACCGGAAAAGGCGACAAAAAGGAGCCATGCCATCGACCACAAGAAACAATGTCCAGCATGAGGGATCAAAGTTTGAAATACTCATTTGCCCAGTTGCTTTTCAATTTTAGCTACTGCCATTTGTGGTCACAGCCATAACGTATACGCATTAAGTATACGACGCGTTGTCTCGACGCTTAAGCTGTAACACCCATTATCCATAAGCTCTGGCAAATTTATGTTGTCAGCTTCACAAAAATTAAATTTAACTCTTATACTCTGAGTACACATGGCTATGGTATGTTAGTCCGGATAAAGGGATAATTTGTAGTGCCATATCTCAAAGGCATTGATTGTATTTTTTTGCTGATATATAGAGGTAGAGGCTTCTACGTCAAGACAATGTTTGCTGTCCATCCTCTCCTTTGAGCTACTGAAAGTAAAAAAAAAAAGTTCGACTTCAAGATTAGTCTGGGTGGCTCATTAAAAGTGCGTTTTCCCTTTGGTCGATGGGCAGCTTTTACGCTGCAACACGCCCATGTCAAAGGCCTTTTGTGGGCCGTCAGGCACAGACGCCCTTTGTGTACGCCCTGTTTTCTAGTTGTTCTAGCCCGGCCCATCCGACTAGTTATAACTGGGCCTTTGGTCATCGGTTAGCAACTGACGTCACAGCAGACGATGGCGAAACATCAACGGCAGAAATACCATCTCCGAGTTCTGCCTGTGAAACTACCGACTAATTACCAACTGTGTGCTGAGATACAAGTCTTTGGCTAGGATCAAAATAAGTTTATAAACTTCATTGTATACTATATACTTACTTGTTGGTCCCTTTAATTTTTTTTTTTTTTGGGGTTTTCTGCCCTTTATTTTCGGTGGCC